CTGAAAGGAAAAAAATGTACACACAATTAACCTTTTAATGTTACAATAGAATGAAACATTTAACAATCACTGAGGGATATTAGAATTATTGGAGGCAAAGACAAAAGCACTGAACATGGTGTACAGGGTAATAATACATCAACTTATTCCTTCGTGGAATAATTGCATCTGCACAACTGAAATATTATTAATAACTCAAGTGTTTCATTACACCAATGCAGAACAAGCAAGCTGATAGAATGAAGTTAAAATAAAAGTGATTTCTAAAAAATAATAATGTACATGCATACTTTAGAATTATGTATGCTAATTCAACATGCAATTATACATACAATCATCCCACATTAAACATGCACTTCCTTAAAAAAAAAAGAAAAGAAAAAAAAAGAAAAGAAAAAAGAAGTAGTTTGTGGAAAGGGGGGGGGGGAGGGTATAATTATTTAAGGGGCCGTCAGTTTTTTAAAAGTTGTTCAATGTCAACAAATCTTTTTTGCTAGTTGTATATGAAAAGGGCTGCAGTTGTTCCAAGTTTCAGTACTGCAGCCTAAATAGAAAGGGAGATTTTTTATTTATTTTTATTTTTTTGTTTTCAACGAATATTACACATTTTCAAGTGTTCATAAACGACCACACTTTTCACATATAATCATTCTACGACACTTTTCTGTCACATTAGCATATAATAAAGGATCTTGAAGGGATTTTCCAAAACATCTTTAGTTTTCTTAATGCAAATAGTCAAAATTCCCCCCAAAATTATGCAAATATATCATGTTTATTGCTATTATTAAATCAATAAAATAACTTAGGAAGCAAAGCTTGTGCCAGATTTTAGAGACATACACTCTACATATAAGGTGTATGTTTCACGTAAATTGAATAAAAAATGAACAAGTTAAGAATTTTTGTTACTTGAAAAAAAATAAGAAAATAATAAAGTCTAAGGTGCTGCCATCTGTGACTGATGTTGACATCGACCAATTTCCTGGCCCCCTTGGCACCCTTACAGATAGGCTTACGTGCAGTCAGGTGTACAAGTTTCATGCAAATTGTCCAATAAACAAATAAGAAAAATAATATTTAAAAAAGAAAAAAAAAATACAAAATTTTTTAACTTAATTTTTTTTAATAAAACTAATTGTATATATATTTTTAATATATGCTATTGTGATAGCCAAGAGTCATAGACATGATTTCAGTTGACACAGGTGCTTGATAATCGTTTTTTACCATTTTGGAAATTTTTTGACAAATCAATATTTTTTTCTCCCTTCCTATTTAGCTACGATGCCGAGACTTGGATCAGATGAAACCCTTTTCATATACAACACGTCAAAATTTTGATTGAAATCAAATCGGTTTTCATTTTTGGCATATTTGAATCTGACAGCCCCTTAAGTGTAGTTAGAGGAAGAGAGCATATGAATTACTGGGAAGATGGGACTCATGGTGTCCCATCTTCCCAATAATTTGTCATACAATGCTTTAAAACTACAGTACTGACAGTTTTGCCTCCACCACCACCTCACTTAATAACTTGTTCCAATTGTCTACCAATCTGTTTGCAAAACAAAACTTTCTATTATTATTTTGGCAGCTTTGTTTCCTTAGCTTGAATCTGTGACCTCTTGGAGTTGCAGGTTTCAGGAATTCCTGTCAATTTGGTCGATTCCTGTTATTTTTGTAAGTGGTGATCATATCACCTCTTTATCTTGTATCTTCTAGCTATGGCATATTTAAATGCCTCTAACTTCTCCTTGTAACTCTTGTTTTTCAGTTCTGGAAGCCATTTTGTAGCATGACTTTGCACCTTTTCCAGTTTATTGATGTGCCTCTCGAGATATGGGCACCATACAACTGCTGCATATTCCAGCTGGTCTCACAAAAGTCATGAAGTTTCTTAAGTATTTCACAAACCATGTAATTAAAAGCGAGTCTTAAGTTGGAAAGTGACGCATACGCTCCTTGCTCAATGTTCTTTGAGTGTTCCTCTGGTGACAGTTTGCTATCCAAAACCACCTCTTAGATCTCTTTCTTTATCAGAAGTTTTCACAATTTTAGATTATTCACTTATAATTTTAATAATAACTTTTAATAATTATTCACTTATTTTAGATTATTCATAATTCACAGATTATTCACATAATTTGAAGCGTGTGTAGTCTATGTTCTATTCCACATTCCATAACATGGCATTTAGTCAATAAATTCCACTTGCCAAGTGGTGCCCCATACACTTCTACTGTCCAGGGCTTCTTGATGGGCATGACAATTGTTTAAGCTTCTTATCTTCTATTATCTTAGCATCATCAGCAAACATGTTCATATAATTCTGTATTCAGTCTGGTAGATCGTTTACGTAGATACAGTAATGAACACTACCGATGCAAGACCTGAACCCTGTGTACTCCACTCCTGACATTTCTCCAATCCAATACATTGCCTCTAATTAATGCCTTAATTTTTCAGTCAGAAAATGTTTCATCCATGCTAGAAGTCTCCCTGTCACTCCATTAGTATGTTCTAGTTTCCAGAACAACCTCTTGTGTGGTACAACACACTGCCAAGTGTTTTTTATAGGTCCAGATAAATGCAGTCAACCCAACCATCTCTTTCCTGTAAAATCTCTGTGGCTCGATCATAGAAAGTAAGTAGATTTGTTACACAGGATCTTCCTAATCAAAAACCATACCGTGTTTTCTCTCTCTCTCTCTCTCTCTCTCTCTCTCCAGGTGTTTTACACATTTTGTTGAAATTATTTTTCCAATGTTTTGATTACCATGCTTGACAATGATAGAGGTCTATAATTTAGAGGGTCTTCCCAGGTACCATTTTTTGGTTAAAGATTGAAACATATTAGCCTTTTTCCATATAACTACTAAGACTCCTGTTCACAAAGATGACTGAAAAATCAATTGAAGTAGAGACATACATTCTCTTAGAACTGAAGGTGAAACTCAATCTGGGCCAACTGCTTTGTTCTTATTTAGCTTTTTGACTTTTTTCCACTTCATCTCTAACACCTCTATGTATTTTATTTTCTGAAAGTTCTCTGAAAACTGTTTAGCACAAACACTGGAAGGGTTCGTTTAATGTTTCACACATTTCCTTTTCATGCTCCGCAAATCTATTCCCAATTTCTCCCTCTAAATTTTACCCTTTACCTGCAATTTTCTTTTAATGAATAAATAAAATAGGCCTGGTTCTGTTTTGCGTTTGTCCACAATTCGTGTCTCGGTTTTTTGCCTCTTCTCACTGCCGTGTAATTGGTTTCTTGTTTCTTTCTATTGCTGGTATGTTTGAGGGTTTGGCCTCTTCTTATACTTATTCAATTTGTTGGTCTTTTTCATCTGGCTCTCTCAATTCCTGTTAAACCAATCCTGTTGTCTAGTTTTGCTTCTCTGTTTTGGTATAAGTAATTATCAAAAGAAGGTCTTGTTATAAATCTTTTTGGGCTTTCATCATATATCTCACAAAATGTGGCATTTACATCCGTGTCTAACAAGTCTTTCCAATCAAATTCATTAAAGAACTTGCTAAGTTCCCCATAGTGTCCTCTCCTGAAATAAAGTTTTTCAACTGCTTTTTCCTCATTCTCTTCTAGACTATAATGAATTACATATTTTATTGCTAAAAGGACACTCTTACCTAAGGGAGGAAGGTACTGGATGTCAAATATTTGTTCCTGTGTGAGGGAATGGAATTTTTTTTATTTTTTTGCTCTGTATGACTGCAATTGCATGAAATGTTGCCAATTTGCATATAAGCCTGCAAGGCAAAAGCTATCGGAGAAAGAATCTATAAGAGCAGCTGTTCATGACCTGGACCCCACTAGTCGAGTACTAGGTCTTTAGTATCGTTCTTCAGATGGGCATGTCCCTGGTCAAGCTCCACTGGGTCATCAGCCTCTCCAACTGCTTTGAGCAATATAGAGGATAGACTATACGGGTCCTACACGCATCAAGTTTGTCGTTTGAAATATGATTATAGGCATTAGGGTTTGGAATCCCAGGCATTATTAGTGCTGTAATGCAAGTAAGTAAGTAATTATAAAAAAGAAGGCACCAAACCGGGAAGGCTATGTAGCACCATCAAATGTGCGGAATAATCAGAGAGCGCTAAATATCACCAAGGATGCCAATACGAGAATAGAAACGCATAAGGCGAACGATATCAAAAGTATCCGATTCACCAAGAATTCTATTGAGGGACAAGTGACAGCGAGGAGCAGTCAGAAAGCAAGACACACGCTCGTCCTGGAAGTCAGGACATTCAACAAGGGTATACACGATGGTAAGAGGGACAACCCAATTTGGACAATAAGGAGCTGGGTGGCGCTCCATTAAGTGACCGTGAGTTAAGCGAGCATGGCCAAGACGCAACCGCGCTAGAGCCATTTCCCACTGCCGGTTACGGTGGCAGGATGGAAGGCCATAGGGACACACAACGCTTAAGAGTACGCAGTTTGTTACCAACAACCCTGCCAATGGGCAAGGATGGAGGAATGAATAACTGGATAAAAGTCGGAAAAATGAACATCTTTACAGGAAACGAGACAAGAGTGGATAGTCTCTCTAGCGGCAGCATCCGCACGCTCATTTAAAGAAACACCAACATGGCTGGGAACCCAGCAAAACCCCACGGATTTAAATTTACTAGAGATAAGAAACAGCCTATGTTGAATCTCGACGACAACGGGATGGACAGAAAGGACCCAAGAGCCATGAGGGCACTACGAGTCGTCAACAATCACAAAGGAGGATTGACAATGAGAAAGCAGATGGAGAGCATGGAGAATAGCATAAAGCTCTGCTGTAATGATGCTAGTCTTCGAAGGAAGGCGACACACATATATGCGGTCAGGAAAAACAACGGAGTAGCCCACACCGTCCGCGGACTTAGACCCATCGGTGAAGATGGAAACGGAGCGGGAGTGTGAAGGAAAGTGCTCAAGGAAAAGGCGTTTCAGAACCGTAGGAGGAGTAAAAGCTTTAGTAATG